TGAGTGTATATCAGCTGGGGAATTTAACCTTAGACCTGTGTGGTTCTGATGAGTAATAAAAGGTCATGTGAAACAATTAGGTTCCATTTTGCTTTAAATCCAAAATCAAATCAGCAAACCTTTAGTCACTTAAATATTTTTTTACACTACATCTTTTTTTCAAAGGAATTTGGCGAGTGACCCTTGACCCTGTTGATGCCGGCGGTCCCTACAACGTGACTGCTGGGTGTCRGAACAGCACCCAGACTCTGACAGATGTGCTGTTTGGAGACATCTGGCTGTGTGGAGGACAGAGCAACATGTGGCTCCAAACCTCTAAGGTACAGGGAGACACACGCACGCCTGCCTGCCTGCCTGCCTGCCTCAGAACCAAAGAAATAAAATGTTTAAACTCTTTATTAAATCACTGAACAGACTTCAAGAGTGAGAAAGAGGAAAACGAAAACCTGGTCTCAAAACTTGGAGTCAGAGTTTTTGGCCTTATTCTAAAGAAAAAAAAAACTTTCTACTTAAAAAAAACTTATTATTTTATATATCGTTGTGTATTTATTCACTMATAGATTTTCAATGCATCTGAGGAGCTGGCCCTTTCGTCTAAATATCCCCATGTGAGGACTTTCATGGCAGATTTGAAAACGAGTGACACTGAGCTGATTGATCTCATCCAYGTGGAGCTGCCCTGGTCTGTGCCCACAGCCAGTAAGTCCAGGATTTCTCACATGCATTTCTTAGTTAATGATTAGWTAAACAATCAGTATAATGATTTATTTTGTCTAACAGAAACCTGGCTACAACAGGACGATGAACCCACTCCTGCTAATTGTCTGAATTTTCATGTAAAGCAGGTTGAGGTGGAGGATTACTGATAATTGCTGAACTGGCCTAGTGCTGACAGACCTCTTCAGGGACCACCCAGCTGTGGGTTTCTTAAATCAAAACACCAGATTTAAACTTTCAGTGTGGTCGGGAAGGGATAATGTCTTCTGAAATAGCAGGGAGTTTTACCTAGAATGTCCACAAAAATGCATCACGCTCTTGACCTGCTTCTGATTTGCAGCACAGAGTGAGCACTGAATGACCTGGTCTGACCATTTCCTGTTCTCCTTTGAGTCATAATTAAATGATTCCTTCAGTGSTTTCTGTTTCCTAACATTTGCCTGCATCAAACTGATTGATGAGCTGCTGTGTTTCCAGAAGTGCTGTCCCAGTTTTCTGCCGTGTGCTGGCTCTTTGGACGCTACATGTACGACAGGTTGAAGTACCCCATCGGGCTGGTGGAGTCCTGTTGGGGCGGGACGCCTGTGGAGGCCTGGTCGTCTGTCAGAGCTCTGCAGCTTTGTGGACTGGAGCACCCTGAGGACAGGTGAGGACAAGCAGATGATGTCATCCAGCTGACCTGAGGTACAGAACAGAATTACCTGCAGTAATGTCTGCTTCTTGCTCCTCTCAGTCCCCAAACGCAAAACTCTGTCCTGTGGAACGCAATGATCCACCCGCTCCTCAATATGACCATCTACGGTGCCATCTGGTATCAAGGTGACATGGACTTCACATGTTCAGAAAACTCAAAAACTCACAGTTCATCCTTTTTTTTTTCCTTTTCCCCCTCTCAGGTGAGGCGAATGCAGGTTATCATAAGGACCAGTACAACTGTTCTTTCCCCGCTATGATCGATGACTGGAGGATGGCGTTCCACCAAGGCTCTGGGTGGCAGACAGCTCTGGACTTCCCGTTTGGATTTGTTCAAGTACGTCGAGCTCTGAACTCATTAAACCTTTCATTTCTTCATATATATTAAAACATGCAATGATTATATGCTAAAGTCACTTCTTTAAAGATCAAACAAACATGATTTTAGACTTTATCATTAAGTTTTCTGTTCTGGGTCTACAGCATCTTTTATTAATGTTGTTTTTTTGCACATTGTCCCTGTTAAATAAACAAAACAATAAACAAATCTTATATAATTATTCCACCAGTTGTCCACCTACAATGAAAACTCAACAGATGATGGCTTCCCAGACATCCGCTGGCACCAAACAGCCGATGTGGGCTTTGTCCCAAATTCCAGGATGAAGAAAACCTTTATGGCCGTGGCCTTCGACTTACCTGATAAAACCTCACCGTACGGCACGTAAGGATCCCAAACCCAACTTTTAAACTTTGTTCCACTTTWTTTATTCACATATACATACACACGGAGGTTTACTACGTGTTYCTAATTACTAGACACTTTTTTATGTTTTTATGTCTGTACAKACAGACCYGACATGTTTCGACGTGTACTTCCGTCTTCATCAGAGGTGTCACAGCTGATGTTGATTATAGACACAATGAACTTTATTAGGTTACACACAGAGGTTTATTTTTATATTTTCTTGTGGACCGTAGATTGACTTCCATTCATCTTTTGGTAATTTTATATTCTAACCCTGACCATTTACCCTAAAATTGACCTCACAGGTACCTACCTGACCCTAAAACTAACCTAAACTCAATCCACACCTTGGTCTGACACCAAACCCCCCCAAACCGAAATAAGCATCCGTACCTGTGGGGACCGGGCTTTGGTCCCCACTTCTGGAAAATGGTACACACACATGCATACACACGTGCTGGTCATAAAATTAGGATATCTTGAAAAAAATTATTCTTTTGTGAAACTTGTATATTTCGTTCATTTCACACTGACTGATTTATTTCAAATGTTTATTTCTTTTAATCTTGATGAATATTACTGACAACTGATGAAAACCCCAAATTCAGTATCTCAGAAAATTAGAATAATACTTAAAGGCACAGTGTGTAGGATTTTGTCAATTCTTTTAGCCAAAATTGAGATAATCACTAATGACAATAA